GTCGGCCAACTTGGCTTCCTCAGCCATGCGTCGCAGGCTGTGCGCGTCACTGCGCATAGGCCGAGTACAGGTTGGGTTGATTCAAGCAGGGAAGTTCATCACAGCTTTTTGGCTATGAATTTAATAGAAAAAGGTCGTTAAGGTTTATGGGCATTTCTTAACGGGGCATTTCGCCGCTCCAGCAGCAGCTTCAGCAAGTCAGATTCCACGGACTGGTCCTCTTTGCTCTGAGGGGCGGGGCCACAAGAGGGTGGGTAGATGTGTAGACCCATCAAACCCATAATAAAATGTAAGGCGGCTCCATTTGAGGACATGGCAACATGAAAGGACATGTTTTGTGAGGGAAGATTAGCCAGTGAATAAAGCCAAACAGCATTAGCAGTAGTAGCAGTAGTAGCAGTAGTAGCAGTAGTAGCAGCAGAAATTGATTAGTAGTCAACTGCAGCACACATCGATAGCTGGGACAGACAGAAGCGCCACCGCTCCGCACACCAGCCGCCACATCCAAGGTGACTGCCACCGTGACTGTTGACCTCCCGGCCCCACCTCCTTCCCCTGAACGCGCACTCGCCGTCTGTCCCCCCTTACCTGCCCCATAAGCCACCCTCTGGCCTGCTTCGTTTTTCCGGCCTCCGAGTGCTTCACCAGCAGCCGCAGCACCTCCCACAGCAACTGCCTCTGAGCGGCTGAAGCTGCTGCCGCCGCAGCTGTGGGGGCCCCCGAGTCACCCACGTTGGTCTGCTGCTCCCAGGGCGTGTCGTTGGCGCCACACGCTGCTGCGTGGTCACTCAGCCACTTCAGCACCTGCACCACGACATGTCGGGTGAAAGCTTGGACGTGCGGATGCGGTTCGGGTGGGGTAGGTGGGGTAGGTGAGAAGTGTAACACTAGGCGAGGACTGGCGGACTGGACGCGCATAAGCGCATAAACAAATAAGCAGCAATTTTCAAGGCAGTTTTCGCGGAATCTTGTCAAGGTTGGATTCGTGGCATTTTCGAAATCTAACTTAAATTTCCCCAGACTCATGTGTAAGGACACAGCCACGCACCTTGTCCTTGCTTGTCGATCACGGCTCCAGCACGGGCGTAGAAGCGGCAGCCTGCGCGAGGTCGGCAGGACCAGCAACGTCGGTGGCCCAGGGCAGTGTAACCATTCACACCGTCCGCATCACCACCACAAAGAGAACAAGAACAAGAACAAGAACAAGAAGGAGCGTCTTGCGAGCACCTTGACGTCATACACACGTGCTTTCTTCCTCAATGCTCATTTCAATACCCCTTTGCCAGTTTAGTGAGGTCGGGGGAAGCGGCGGCGGTTCGAGTGGGGTTCGAGGTGGTGGGGCGGAAGGGTGCGGTGATGGTGAGGGGGGCGGGGGGGGGTGGTCCAGTAGTGCGAAGGGTTTCGCGCGGCGTCCGGCGTAGTCTGCGGCGTCTCCGGACTGCGAACGGGAGGGCTCGCGCTGGCTGAGGTCGGTGGACGCGGAAACCGAAGGGACGAGGGCCATGGTAACGAAGACGAAGACGATGCCGAAGAAGAGGATGAGGTAACGACGACGTAACGAGGACTATGGACTATAATTAAACTCTGAGTAGAGCGACTTGAGCCGATGATTGCCGACCAGTGAGGGGAGGGGAGGGGGAAAGGGAGGGGAGGGAGGGAGGAGGAGAGAGAGGAGAGGGAGGAGGGGGAGGGGAGGGGGAAAGGGAGGGGAGGGGGAAAGGGAGGGGAGGGGGAAAGGGAGGGGAGGGGGAAAGGGAGGGGAGGGGGAAAGGGAGGGGAGGGGGAAAGGGAGGGGAGGGGGAAAGGGAGGGGAGGGGGAAAGGGAGGGGAGGGAGGGAGGAGGAGAGAGAGGAGAGGGAGGAGGGGGAGGGGAGGGGGAAAGGGAGGAGAGGGGGAAAGGGAGGGGAGGGGGAAAGGGAGGGGAGGGAGGGAGGAGGAGAGAGAGGAGAGGGAGGAGAGGGAGGAGGGGGAGGGGAGAGAGGAGGGGGCAGGAAGTGGCAGCAACCCCAACACCAACACCACACCAGCTGTGTCCTGAAACGTCACGACATGAGCGTCTCGCGCGGGTGCTTCGTTGGGCTAGCGGGTGCGTGGGAAGGAGGGGGGGGCTCGTGGTGGTTTCGGAGGGACACGACGCTGCCGCACGGCGCAGCTGGAACCTGAAGGGCGCCCTGGCGGCCTGGGGGCCTGTTGCCTTTTTGGTTATCAAGACCACCATCCCCCGAAGAGGTTGTTTGCATTACACTGAAACACATTGTTTTGCATGTGCATGGCGACGATGCGAAGCAGAGCCGGCCAGTGATGTGTAGAGCCGGCCTTTGGGATTGTAGGGGTATTTTTCGTTATTACCGTTAGCGCTACTGTTACCGTTACCGTTACCACCATCAGCATTTGCGTGTGTCCAGCTCACAACACGCAACTGCCAAGCCCCGGGGTTTGGACCACCTCTCCTCTCCATAACCCAGCTGCACCTCTTCGATTTCACGCATATACCCTTTCTTCTGGCGTATCAGTCTGCATATCCTTGGCATCACCTGGTTGCTCGTTCGTGGTTCGTCTTTCCCTCCCCGTTCTCTCTTTCCCACCTCTCCCCCTTCCCCCCTTTTTTCCACCAAACGCAGACATCATGTACCCCGGCACATCGCAGTACTGGCGCTCGGACTTCGATGGGTGATGCGGGGAGCCCGGTACAGAGTCTAGACAGCCAGATGGCTAGTTAGTTAGCACGACGGTTGGGAATTCAACCGGCTGGTTGGAACTGGATTCAGTGGAGTGGAGATGGATGGGGATTCTCTCTAGGGATTTTGCGGCCTTGCGCCGGTTTTGTTAGTGGTGGTGGTGGTGGTGGTGGTGGTGGTGATGCTGTTCATGAGGTGCAGGGTAGACACTTCTTGTTGGACGGAAGGCCTGACGGCATCTGTGTGTGTGCGTGTGATGAAGGAGGGAGGAGAGGTGCCGGCGGTAGACTTGCGCCCTTTCTGTGTGAGTTGTCTCACCCTCACCCTCACCCTGGGCGGGCCCCCGCCCGCGGATGATGGATGGAACCACTTGCGGACAGACGGATTTCCTCGGAGGTCATCCGCCTGGCCCTTTTTAAATCCTGTAGGGCTCCCGAAAGCCAATGTGTGCGCGTGTGTCTGCGTGTGTGTCTGTCTGTGTGTGTGTGCGAGTGAGTTCTCCTTATCGAGGAGCTAGGGCAGCAAGACCACCTCCTCCCCTGGCGCTGCTGTTGGGAAAGACCCCGCCCCGGCGGGAAACCGACCAACCGTCTAGAAGTAGTCAAACCGTCACCCCGACCAAACCGAAATGAAATGCTTCGCGGGATGGTGGTGGTGGTGGTGCGGGAGGGCTACAAGGGAGGGCTTTCGCCTCCAGTTTGCCGATGGCGGTCGTGTTGGGCGGCGGATGGATTATTAGGGGAGCGAGAAGAAGGAGCAGCCTTCCAGTGTGGTGGTTGCTTGGGATCTCCCTATTTGTACACACACACACGCGCACACACACAGAGGTGGTAGTGGTCGCATGCCGCGGCAGCAGCTACACAACTACCTATGCAGCCACAGCCACAGAAGAAAACAGCTAATATACAATATATATATATATATTTATGTGTGTGTATGTAATATACAATGCGTGTATATATACACACGAATACATTCTGAAGTCGGATGGGGTGAATGGATTAGGGTGCCCCTCTCGCAGGGGAGAGCAGGGAACTGCCTCCAAGGGAAAGGGGGCCGCTGGTGAAGCTACATACACACTTTGTCGAGGTGAGAGATCGTGGAGGGAGGTAGTGTAGTGGCGGAGGGGCTGTTGGTGGAGCCCTCGGCGGCCCCCATCGCCCTGGCCGCCTCAATCAGGCGATGACGGTGGACATTAATCGAAGGGTGCGACCAGAAGTTGAAGAACATGGAGATACGTACGTATGTATGTATGTATGTATGTATGTATGTATGTATGTATGTATGTATGTATGTATGTATGTATGTATCTCAGTTTTCAGGACGTCTCCAGTGGTTTCCCGCGGGCGTGTTATGAAGGTTAAAGGGGGGCCCTGGAGGACTACTACTACTACCTAAACAGCACAACGTTCAACTTTTCCCCTTCGTGTTCCCCAACTGCCTTTTTGACCCTTGTGCCCTTAACAGCAATAAATGAAAATCACCGAGCGTTGCCCCGCATCTACACGCAGTTGTTGTGGACCGTAGCCAGGTCAAAGCACAACCGTATACACGCCGACTCATACCCCTGCTGGAGACTCTCGCAACATGGTGTGCGGGAAAAGCCCGGGCATCGCCCGCGACCCGATTTATGTGTTGACGGATTGTCTCACCACTCTCTACTCACTCATATGCGCAACTCACGCCCCAAAGAGTCAATTAAAAAGCGCGAGTTCGTACACAGGTGATAGATAGATACATACATACAATTCAGTGCAAAAGAGGGCCGCATCCTTTTACATCAGAAGGAATTATGCGTGCGACCGAATTCAAACCAACACCACAATTCAAATTCGAAATTTCAAACCCCGGGCATCCGACAGCCAAGGCCCCCGAATATCTCAAACACACACACAACACAGAGACCAGACAGACATCCCCAAAAAGCTGTGTCCGCTTCCTCGAAGTCGGAAAAAGGGCGGGGGCCCCCTGCATCCGTACAGGCCGGTAGCTAGGGCGGACCAAAACCCACAAAATACCTGGCGCCTTCCTTTGCTAACCTCTCCGTCCGCATCTCACGCCTTTCACCACCTTTGAAGGACAAAATCCGAATCCAACTAAGTCCGTCACAACAGCTGCAGGAACGGGTGCAACAGCAGCTCAGAAGCGCCCCGATTGCCTCGAACCAGCTGCGCGATGAAGTCCCAGCCTCCCCGGTCGCCCTCGTCCAGAAAGGCCACCAGACGACTCAATGGCGGATCATCTGCACAATACTGTCGAAACGCCGCCATGTCGTCCCAGTAGATTTCAAACAGCAGCCTAGTCAGCGAGGTGCGCGCCAGGGCGCCGGAGGGGGAGGTGGCGGTGGCGGCGGAATAGGCTTCCAGGAGAGTCAGGGCGGTTGCCTGAGGGGAGGCGGGGTGGGGGGCCTTGCGGGTTTGGTGGGGGGGGCGGGAGTTCGGTTTCGGAGGGAGGGGGATACTTCAATGTTTGCCGGAAACGTTTGGTGATTATGGATGGTGGTTGGCGGTTGTTGGTTGGCGCGGTTGGAAAGAATATCTAACGAACACCTTTTAAGTTGTCACCTAAGTCCACACGCTCCGCTGCAGACTGTAACCCTCCTCCACTTCCCCCCCTCCAAAACACACACACACACACATATACATACACACATATTATGGAAGATATGGGTTTGGATCCCACTGCTGGTTTTTCCCCCGGGCGAAATAGATTACGTGTGCGAATGCTGGGATGAGACACTGGGTTCCTCCAGTGCGCTGGGCGGCTGGTGGGGGGGGAGCTCTCACCATACAAAGACCTAAACACTGCCGCAGAAAGCAGTGACAGAAGAGGAATAAATACTGCAGAAGGGCTCTCGGACCCGACTGTTCCATCTGGAATACAGACCCCGGGCCCAGACGGTGGTTGGATAACGGAACCGGGCGGCGGCAGGATTCGCAACGATAGGGTGGCGCTATTGGCACCGGTGTGAGTGCATTGGCAGATCGCGCAGCTGTAGAGCTGGAGAGCATAGAGGAGGGTTAGGATTCTGACCGACATACCGACGTACCAAACGTCCATCCAATGGCGGAGTGCTTCGGCGGTCGCTCATTCCCGTTACCGACCTTCCGGGTCAGGTGCCCCTGGCCAGCGTCAGGCCCGGATCCATATGAAGCAGATATACACACACATACACACATACATACACACGCGCGCGCGCGTATACCTGCAGGTCATGTTTTCGGCCCTCATTCCTTGAAGTGCTGTCAATGTCCAAATTAGGCAACTGCGGAGTGGCCAGACCCAGAGGGCCTGGTGAACAGGCAACAAGTAGCAATGGCGGTAGTGGACGACACGTGAGCGAAAGAGTGTCAGTTCGGGAGCGACAGGTTTTCCCCGACACAGTTCTCGCAGTTTTTTTCCAAGATCCTAAACTTCCTGATCTGGCGATGCTGACGACCTTGACGATCTTGACGATCAGAAAGAAAGATGGACAGAGAGACCTGTACCGCGCTAAACCGCCAAAACCGTCCCCTCCCTACGGCTCTGAAACTCAACCCCAAAAATCCCGTACAACCCCCGCACCCACTTCCCCTAAATGCACTTGCCTCTTACCCACATCCCAACCTCCCCAACCCTCCTGCAACCCTAAAATCCCCAAGTAATCACTCCCCAAGTAATCACTCTCATCACTCCCAGCCAAATCTCCCTCTTCCCCACCACCCACCCACCCCCGGGGTCTAGGCGACCGAATCCAAAGTTGTCCAGTTTTACGAACAGCGAATCCGCGTCCTCATCGCGAGTGGAGCTCAAAAACACGGTGCCGCTAGAGATCGACCCGTGGGTCACTCCCGCGCCATGGCAGTGCGCCACGGCACCCAGCAGAGCACGAGACACGGCTCGCAGCCAGGAGTGACGAGCACGCCACGCCTCTGCCTCGGCCACCTCCCTGGACGTACGAACGTACGAACATATTACAAGTGCACGATGCGGGAAGAAGATGAAACGGCCATGCATGCCCCATAATGACAAAGGTCAATCGGTCAATAACCGACGAATCGATAATCGAAGTCGAACGGGACACAAGCCGCCACTCACCCCCGCTGCGGCTCGGCGACCGAAACAGATCGATTAACATGGCGGGGCGACACCGCCCCGCACGAACTTCCTTTTCACCGACAGAACCAAAATTGTATACTTGAGCAGAAATGAAGAAAGGGGCGAGAAGGCGAGAAAGGGAGAATGTACGGCACCACCAAGCCATCCAACTTCGTCGCACATCAACTATGTAGGAGTATTCGCTACCGCACCCTCGCTCGCCCCGAAACCACCTCAATATCCACATCATCCTCACCTAGCAGTTGCCGCTCGCTTACTCACTTGCTTACTCCCTCGCTGACTCACTCATTCCCTCGCTCGCTCGCTCACTCCGTCCCTCGCGCGCTCACTCACTCACTCCCTCGCGCGCTCACTCACTCGCTCACTCGCTCGCTCGCGCACTCACTCACTTTCGCTTGAAAAACGACGGTGTTCCCTCGGGCGGTCGTACATCTCCCAGGTACATGTTGAGGGGCCTCAGTCCCTCCCAGCGATACACGAGCCACACACTGCCCGCCGCGGAGTCCAGGGATACCGACGCGGCTTCCTCTGAGGGTGCCGACACGAAATACCCCAGCAGCGGCACCAAGGGGGGATGACGGGTGGTGGGGCGGTTGGCGGCTTGAGGGGCGGAGGGAGGGAGAGAGGGAGAGACGGGAGGTGGAGGCAGAGTAAAGGGGCGGAGGGGAAGCGGTTTGGATGGGCGAAAAGGAGGGGAAAAGGCGATTAAGCGGAAAACAGGGAAAAAGGGAAGGGGAGGAGCGGAGGGATGCACCCCGGAAGGTGGAGGGAGGTGGAGGGGAAGAGGAGGGTTGTTGTGCGCTGTGTATGGGAGGTTCCCGTGGGGTACGGCAATCCATGGTTTGGCAAGGGCCATCCCTGACAGGCAATCCAGATATATCCGGGTAACCCACAATCCCTGTGTCGTACCACGTACTGGTCCTGAGGCAGATCGCAGAGTTTGGACAGGACGAGCAGCTCGTTGAAAGCCACTGCGCGGGCCACTGGAAGGTACTCCTGTACGGCAGTACGGAAACAGTACGACAGTGTGGCGATGTGGCAGGCAGAGTGTGTGGGCAGGATGAGGGCGTTGATGTGACGATCTGGGGGCCGCAACGGGCCCAGAGGAAGGCAAGACAAAGCAAACTACAGATGGCAATACACCGCGACCACGAAATTATACACGTGCCCACGTCCGTACCCGTGCCCGTACGCCCTATCCGTATCCCGTATCCCGTACCTTGAGTAGCACGGTCAGCGGCCGCTGCATGGGCAGGCGGGGCAGGAAGCGTGCCGCGTACGCGATGACGGCGGTGAGCCCCTCGGTGTGGCCCCCGATGTCCTGGAGCGCGCGTGTGCGTGTATGACCGTGTGAGCGTGTGTGTTTCGGTCGGAGGATAGGGGAGGAGGGTGGAAGGTGACACGGCAAGTAATTGAACAGTCGGGGATTGAAGCGTAGAAGAAGCCATGTAGAAGAGTTAATATTCAGCACCTTCCCTCCTCCCTCCCTCCCCGACGGA